TTCCCTCTCACACACACACACACACATACACACACACAAACACACACACAGAACATCACGGCTTTCCTGCCGTGCAGAGAAAAGTGGAGAAGTCAAAGCAGGTGTTTCCAAGAAATTTAACAAAGACATAAACTATATGCGCTGAGGAGAGCCACTTTATCTCCAAACAGGTTGCAATAACTTTGATAGAGGGAGAAAGTCCCGTCTGTTTCCAATTAGAAATCAAGGTTCATTACAGAAAGGTATTACTCCGATAAGCCTCGGATAACTGATACTTTTCCTCGCCACACCGTGAGCCAGGCTAAGTTCACTGCACGCTGTCATTAGACTGGTACAGTGTTGTGTGTGCAGTCATGAAGCCATTGACTTTGGCCTCTGGTGTGGATTGTTTGTAGACGTTAGTGGACTTCATTTATAAGCTAATCAGTCCAGGCACTATGTAATTAGATCACAATGCTTTGATAAAGCATAAATTTGCCTATCCTGGTAATTGAGGGGTGTGATCTGTCACCCATTGCACCTGTTTACATTACAAAGTTATTAGTTCCAACCATTTAGTGTGCTGACAGACGGTACATTCAAATATGTAAATCTGTCAAGGCCAACATCATGAGAGGCTGTCAATCCAAAAATGTGATTTTGGGGAAGGCCAGTATGTACTTGCTTAGCTGTACCTTACTGAATATATCTATAGAGACAGGACTGGACTGGTTTAGAATCTAAATAAATATTTGAACTATTAAAAATACATAGAGCTAAAAGACTTATTTAAATTGGTAAGAGAACACGGGCATTATAGGGATCAAACACCAAGTTTTTTGGTTTGTTTTACCATAGTTTGTATCCCCATGCATTCCCTGACTAGGGTTTGTAGTATTTCAAAATGTGAGACAAAAGAAGTAGGATTTGCAATTTATTTAAAATAATGAATTATGTAATGATAAGGTTGGATCAAACTTTCATATAAACATTCATTTTAAAGTAAAGAGCAATTTAGAGACATTATAACTGGTTTTATGGCCATAAGTGGAAACACTCCAAGGTAAGCTGAAACCTCATTGGCAGAAGAAGGTGAGATAAGCGGTTCTGAGCATTTTGTGGTAGAATTAGAATTTTCACACATGTTGTGGGTCTGTGCAGTAAGACACATCCTGTGACAACTTTTCTTTGTAGTATTATTTACACATTTTTCATTGTGTTCTTGCTAACATTACATTACAAAGTTATTATTTAGTATGCTGACAGACGATATAGTCAAATATGTAAATCTGTCAATGCTAACATCATGAGAGGCAGTTGATCCAAAGAAATGTGATTTTAGAGAAGGCAAGTATGTACATGCTTAGCTGTACCTTACTTAGTGTATCTATAAAAACAGTTCCTTCCTACCTATACACTTAGAAATCTTATGCGTTCTGTCCTTTCTCCTCATCATTAGAGCACACAAGCCGTATTTCAATACAAATGCTTCATGTTAATAACATCACAAACCTTCAGGATTGGTCACATTTTCACAGTAGACATGTTAAAAGGTACATATACCGTTGATCCAGAGTGTGGACATCAAGTCACAGGACCACAGTATTTGAACCAGTCCTCCAATCAGTGTTTCACACTGAAAATGAAGTCACTCAATTTGCCATCCCTACTACAGCCTTTCAAGCATTTGTACCTATGTGCATATGCCCATTTTTTATTTGGGATGAGTATCAAAAAGTAAGTCTGGTAGCCTTTGTGTACAGGGTGTAAGGTTTGGTCTTCAATTCAATTCAATTCAATTAGAGAGATATTTATGGTGGTGAACAAATGTGAAATTTCCCATTTACCAACGTTAACAACAAATCTATTAGTAAATCTAATAGGACGAACATGACCAGCAAAATTATATATTATAAAATATTATAAATATACAAATCACACAAAAATATACAAATCACACAAGATTGATGATTTGGAGTTATGGATGAGTTCATTTAAATCATGAAAATGCATGCACATGTGAAAATCCCAAAAAATGCATCCTGCATATACAAACTTTTCACTTATTGTTTCACAGGTGAGAAATTCATAATTTTGTTTCTAAGATGGGGTAAATGGCATTATGTTGACATTTATAGGTCCTACATTCATTTAAAGAAATAGGTCCCAATGGAAACCGAGATGTATTTGGTGAATGATTTTAAAAAGCCAATTTGTGGAGAAAATAAAGGGTGTGCAGAAAGTTGCATTCCCTCCATGCTGTTGGCTGTAACAGAGCTGATTGGTTCTTCACATGCTCACAACAACGCTGACCACCCACCTCTTACTAACCTACATGACCAAAATCCACCAAATGGCTGCCCAGGCCTCCAAGAATAATTGGGCAACTAGCCTTTTAATTAGCACTTGAAATCTGCATTCACCAGAGGGCACAACATGTAAAAGTACAGTATGTTGTATGTTGTATGTTCGACACACCCCGGTTCTTTCTCTGTGTTTGCCAACTGGCTGTGCGTCTGTCATTATTAACGAAGAATGCGCTCCAGCATGGCAAGCTAGTGCAGATTGCTATTAGAAATGTTGTTGTTTATCTTTGAGTCATTTAAATATTTAAGTCAAGGTCTAGATGTCAGATGAGGTAAAGATTTGATTGGTTGAATTAGGAACACCCTCTATGATATGTAATATATACAGCAGGTGTGTGGCTGGTGGTCGGAAGACTAGAGAGGGCGCTATACAAGTCAAGGATAAATTACCATTTACCTGATTTACATACAGTAGTGTTCCTGCTTTTGCACACCTTATGAAACAGAGCGAGCGGGTTGGCCTGGATTATTAACTGGGGAAAGTGCACACACCTCAAAACCATCAGACTCACATAATAAGATTGTATGTTTTCTTGTGATTATTGTTGTTGTAACATTTTCATGCTGCTCTCTGGTCCTGGTCTCCCATTAGAAGATTTGGACATATGATACAATAAATATGTTTACACAAAATATCCAATATTGCAGGTTAATGCAGTCATGGGGGAGAAAATCAGTCCAGCTCAAAGCAGCACAGCCAAACTGGATGCTGTCCTTATCAGAGGGGCTCTAAAGGGGTGGAATAGGGTGGCAGGTGCCACCCCTACAAACATGTTAGCCACCCAAGTTTGGCGTCAAATGCTGTCAACTTAAACATTCATTAGATTAATTTAAAAGCTGAAATTACTGAATGACTGTTATGGCTACATTTGAGACTTTTTTTAGGCTCAAGTTAATGAAAAAAGACAGTATTTGGGAAAAAATCTTATAAACCCAGTATACCTTTAGATGTTTTTTATTTAATGCTTTATAATGTGCCACATAAATGTTTTTTGAGTTAAAATATTTTCAATTTGGAGTTTTTTGCAAATATTTCAAATAATTGATACTTTTCTTGATCAAAACAGCATATATTTCTGCCACCCTTAAAAGTCTCCATGCCACCACTCTGGGTCACCCATGATATTAATTGTCGTATATTATTATTAAGTTATGTATTAAGTATTATTATTGCTACAGTTACTGTTGTTGCTGTTGTCACTGCTCGCTGTCCCATCGTCATCATCTTCTCATGTTCATTAGTGTATTGGTGTAGTTGTGCTGCATCTGTCTGTTTCTCTTCTCTCTCTCTCTCTCACCCCAACTGGTCAAGATGACCACCACCTAGAGCCGAAGGGTCTGTCCTAGGTTTCTGCCTGTTAAAAGCAGGTTTT